AGAACAAAGAAATATGTGCACATCACCCTATTTTAGCTTCATTACACTGGCTCCCAGTATGTTTTAGAATTGATCACTTTTAAAGCTTTATATTTATATTTCTGACCTTTTAGTCCCATACACACCAGCACGTACCTTGAGATCCTCAGGCAGAGGTCTGTTGTCTTTTCCAGAGTCTCGACTGAAAACTAAAGGGGACAGAGCATTTGCAGTCAGGGCCCCGAAGCTCTGGAACAGCCTGCCCCATGAACTCTTTTAAGTCCCTTCTTAAAACATACTTTTGACTTTATTTTATCCCTTTTATTTTATTCTATTTTACTTATTTTATATTTATCTTAAATGTGTATTTTAGTCTTTTCAATGTTTTCTTGCTTTTATCTTGTATTGTTTTTGTATTATTTTCTTTTGGGTATTATTGTCTTTACACTTGTTAAAGCACTTTGTAACTTGTTGTAACTTGAAAAGTGCTCTACAAATAAAGATTATTATTATATTATTATTATTTATATTAATGTTACGTATTGGCTGTTGTAGGTTATTACAGTTCAGTACCAATAGGGGGCTCCAGTGCTATTGATATAGCAAGATTACATTGAGTAGAGCTAGAGCATGTAGACCCAAGCCTGCGGAGTCAAGTGTCCCCACTTGTTCGTCAACAACCACATTCTGATTCTGTCTTCGACAGAGAGGCAAGAGATTATGGTAAATGAGAAAGAAAAGTGGCTTACTTAAAAACAACACCATGTGGCCACCACCGGCCAGCTATGGCGTAAACAGGTCCTCGGTGGCGACCTGTCCCTGAAATGATAACAGCCATTAAAACAGCCGCATGGCAAATACAAAACTATTTTATTTGGGAGCTTGGCAACCCTCTCCTCCTGTTCTTCTCTCTCCTTGAAAGAACTTCCATCTATCCATCCATCGTCAACCACTTATCCTGCATACGGGGTCGTGGGGGGCTGGAGCCAATCCCAGCTTACATGGGGCAAAAGGCTGGGTATACCCTGGACAGGTCGCCAGTCCATCACAGAGCCACACAACCATGGACAATTTTGGAGACACCAATTCACCTAGCCTGCATGTCTTTAGATAGTGGGAGGAAGCTGGAGAGAACATGCTAACTCCACACAGAAAGGAGGGGGCAACTGGGGTTTGAACTCACAACCTTTTTGCTGTGAGGCAACAGGTTGGCACTGTTGCCTCACAGCAACCACCTCTTGGAAGATCTTTTATGTTTGAATAGGACTGCTAGCTTGCAGGTGTGTTCTGCTAGTCTACTTGTCAGATTTTGCGTTTTAGCCAGTTTCACCTAGCTAAAGTCTCGTATTCTTGTCACATAATGAAACAGAAACTTAAGATTAACTTAAGAAAATAAGACAATATTCATTCTGTGGAATCTATTTTTTTATGCTTAGCTTGCTAAAAACTTGTAGGTAAAACTACTGACTGACACCACAGCAAAGGGGGATATGCACATTTGAGGGTATATATAGCACGTCCTTGCTTGTCTAGTGGTATGACGTGAGCTGCGTGTCTACTGTTGCATGATGAATCTAGCTGTAATTTTACCATGTAACCAACAAAGTCGTGCTCGTAACCTGGCAGGGCCTGCTCCTGTCACGGGCCATAGCACGGTTGCATTGTCTGCACTGTCTATACCTACGCCCTTCTTTTATTGTGACAGTTCTGTGGGGATTGCATTGTGTTCTGTAGTGTCAAGACCCTTTGAAATCGAAATCTATGGTCTCTAACAGTGTTATTGTTGTTTGAATAACAAGTAACAGCCACATGCAAAAATCACCACTGACTGACTGGCGGGGAACCAATTCAACAATCAAAGTCTGATATTCAGAAAATCTTATCAGACTGTGAGAGGACTATGTTGGTTACTGCTAAATAAAGATAACATCTAGGGAAAATGTTGTCATCCTTCATAACCCTTCTGTAGACTGTGCAGGCCTACACAAAGACAAGTCAAAGCAGGAGATGGTCATCCCTCTGCTTCCAGAGACTGCAAATAAATCACGCATGCGGAAAGCTGCCCTAACCATAATCAAACCAAACTTTAATTTAAAATTTAAAATTTAATTTAATTTGATGGTCCCATGCCAGGGGAGGAGGAGGTTGTGACATTAAAAAAAAACAATAATTGACAGAAGAAAGTTCATTTTGTAAGTGTAAATATATATGGGTGTTTTTTTACTCTGTTTTTGTCTTTCCCACTATGTTTTTCTTCTCTCCTACAGTGTTCATCACAAGTGATGACATCATTCAGAGTTTACTTTCCTTACTGAGGAGTTAACAACCCTGGTTGGGCACTCTCATATGTGATGACACTAGATGGAAGAGGTCAGACCAGAGTCAATATCATGGCTTTTCAACAATCTCACGACCCCAGTGGGCTAAGAAGTGACACCATAGTCGCTTTATTTCTGCTGGACAGGTAATCTGCCTTTTTTCCATTCTGATGGTAATTTGTTAGTTCAGGTTAACTTTAGGTAAGAATGTAGGTGTACGCCAGGCTTAGGGAAGGAAGTTTTGAAATTGAAGCTTCCAGGGAATCAAAGTGCCCAGTTGGTGTATCCAGAGCCTCTCCTCTCGTTGTCTCTGGGCTGCAGACCACCTGGGATTACATTGGAGGATCAGTGCAGTGAGCTGGGGCCAGCCATGCTCAATAAAGTGCTTAACCAGGGGGATGTTAGTGTCTTTTTTCCTCATAGTGTTGTGCCTGTGTTGTGAGAACCTAGTCAACAAAGTGTTCCCTGTTTCTCCAATGTACTGCATATTACACTGTCTACATCTAATCAAATATACACAATTCCTGGAATGAACGCCATGCCATGGGCGATGGGACCATGCGAAGTGCAAATCAAGTTTAGAAGTGTAGCTGTTTTTGGTCTAAAGTGCGCCCTCTAGTGGCCTAGTGCAGTGTGTCAGGGCGGTGATGTTTTTATGAATGAGCAACGCAGGCTTGGGGAGTGGCTCCCTCTTGTGATCCAACTGCGTTGTATGCACCATCACATTGTCATTTCGATTATCAGTGTACAGATGTTGAATTGATCATATATATATATATATTTACCAAATATCAATCACACTCACTCTTCACTTAGTTCCCTGATGTGGTGAATAGAGAACATAGACCTTGTCCCTTTTTGACTGGTTTCTTTTGTTATTGAATGTGTCTGTACACCGTGTACCACTATTTACTGCAAGCACAAAGGTGATTTTATGTATCAAAGTGACAAACTTCTGTCATCATTTTCTTTGTGATGTGTGGGGAAAAAAACTGATAACAGGGTGCAATACAATTTTCTTTGTATATGATTACAGGGAGGGGCGTGAACGCAGTCCCCTACTACCAGAAATGATGTCGCAGTCACGATTTGGGGGATTTGCAGCAGTCTACAGGAGGAGTCCACAATACAGCTCACTTCATTCAAAGAAAATGTTGCAGAGACTGTTGATATCATCTGTACTATTCCATATGTGTGATATTAACCATTTCAGATTCGAATCAACTGTTTTTTGTAATACCTCTTGAAGCCGTTGAAGAATGCAGCATAATTCATGTAATGTATTCACGTTACTGGACATATTGTTTTCAATTAAATACAGATTATTATATCAAAAGTATACTTGTGTGAGAATGCTTTGTCTTTTCCTCAAAGTCATTAGAGAAGAAGTTACTAATGTGAATACATTAGTAACTTCTTCTCTTTATGAATTCCCTTATGACTGCTGGGAGGCTTAAAAGTAATTTAGCATTGCTGAGGCTGATTAAAGCTACTTGAAAAGATCTGATATTGTTGAGCTATAGGTAAATGTCATTCATGTAAGTAATCTGGCGCCCTTTATCAGTATCCCTATTTTTTGATAAACAAATATACCCCACTCATCAATTAATATTTCACAACTCACTGTTACTGTAGCACTGACCACTTTATTAAATAAAGTGCATGAAATTGGAAACAGAAAAACAGCACTACATTGTAGACAAAATCACTGACATGATTTAAATTGAAATGTCATGAAAACAATAAAACCATACTAGACAAGATAGTAAGCACATTCTGTTTCCTCAAACTGGTCAACACCAAAGGTCAAGATGCTTTACACAATACGAGTTACCTCTGTAACAGCATATAGACAAACAGATGTAATTATATTTGTCATAAAATATCTGACAATGGAAGGTTTGAGCTGCTAAACATACAAACTCACTGAACAGGTATCATCAATGTTGATTAAAAAGCTAAAGGACACCAGGACTAATCAGCAGTTTCAATACAACTAATCTTTCTTATAAAAACAACTAATCTTCTACTATAATAATGATAAACATTAAAATAACAATAATGGCAATACTAATACTGATACAGATTAATAATACAAACAAGAATGAGTAGAATCAGTGCTGTTTTGTCAGTCCTTCAAGGATTACAAAGATATAAACTTTCACAGCAACTTAAACAGCAATCAAAAACACAGCGACAACAATATGCAAAGTGCTTTTGTGAGCAGAAATATGTACAGATTGAAATGTCTGCTGAGAAGGCTTCTGGGGTCTGGCACTGAGTGCACACAACCTCACCTACAGCTACAGTAAAAACACAGCAACAATATGCAAAGTGCAAGTGTGGATTGAAATATGTACAGGTGGAAATGCCTGCTCAGACGGCCGGGGGGTCTGGGACTGAAGGCTCAAAACCACATCCACAGCCTTTTTAAAGTCTGCGAAGGTTTCAAAAGTCCGGCCAGAAAGTTCACTGGAGGTGGATGATTTAGATTTTTCACAGTAAGTTTTTTTCCTGTACTTTTTGTGTCCTTGAGTGGATTGGCCACACAGCGCACAGGTGTACAGTCTCACTGTGCCCTGAGGCCCAGTGCCACTGCGCTCTGCTTTCTTCCTCTTGTACAGAGTTGACCTTGCCAGTGAGATCATTGAGCTAGGCTGTTGGGGGAGTGAAACAGATGCTTGCACCTGGGGAACAGCTTGCACCTGGGGAACAGCTAGAAAACATGTAAAGGCAGGTGCTGTGGGCTGCCTGAACGTGCAGGTGGGCTGGAGTCCTGCTGCCGTGGTTTGACCGGCGAATTGGTCATGCTTCGGTTTGAGTTTTCTGGTGCCTGCCAAAGATGGAGTGACCTCATACTGTCGGCTGGTGTGTGGTCTCTCATCCGAGAGCTCTGCTGCGGCGGTTTGGCTAGTACTAGAAACACTCGACGGCACATCTCGACACATGACGGCGGAGGACAGCCAAACCTTGATCCGTCATATTTGTGGCTGACAGGGCCTCCTGTCTCCTGATGAACTCAGCAACGCACTTGGAGTTGATTTTCAGGATGGGAATACCGAGTTTGCTGAGGTCAGTGTCATCCACGGTCACTCTCTGCTGCACACGCTGGTACATTTTGGTGATCTTGTGCTTCTGTAGTGACCCTCGAGCCAGTGCGCCACAGTCAGGATGAAGCCACAGCTGTTTAATGATGCAGTACATCAGGCGGTTCTTTCTGGAGTCCAGCAGGTGGGCGGCTGAGTAACGCTTGCTGAACTTCAACTTTTGCACCAAAGACGACTCAGATGGCTGACCTTTGGTGCGGCTGAACAGAGCGTTACCCCAGCGTGATGAGTAGAGGCTGTCAAACTGCTGGATGCTGCGGTCGTGGAGTTCCAGCTTGTTCCAGGCGCTGACGACTCTCTGTCTTGTAGAGTCACTGAGAGCAAGCTTTCCCTCCTCCAAGGCAATCTCAACAAGTACTCTGCTCAGCTCCTCTACGTGTTGGTATCCGGGGAGATGATTTGGACCGCACACATCCTCTACACAGGGATCCAGCTCAGGAGCCACAACCTGGTCGGTAAGACGCAGATTCCTCCTCAGCGGAGTCAGAATGTCAGTCTCGCTGTCAGAGTTGTAGCCCGCATCTTCCTCCAGGGATTCTTCCTGGTCAGCAACCACCTCATCATCATCATCTTCATCTTCATCCTCGGCCGCTCGAAGTGTCTCTCTGGCCTGAGCGTAATGGTCAGGAGCACGGAAAGGTTCTGACGACTGGGAGAACAGATACTCCAAACCAATTCGCTCGTCATCAGCAGGAACAGGTGGTCGGTAATTTACCTCCTCCGGCTCGCCAAAAAACTCCTGGCACCTCTGGTTGAGGCGATGTATCAGATGAGACACGTATACCATGCGCTTCCTTCCTTTGTGGCCTTTGACATTGTCAGACTCCCTGTCAGAGTTCCAACGTGCGATGCCGCTGAGAAGATAGACCTGGAAGGGGACAGCTGCACAGTGGGGCCCCGGTATCATGCTGGGCAGGAAGGAGTGGAAGCTCTCCAGGCTGTTGCTGCCTCTCACAGTCCTGTAGTAAAGCAGGCACACGCCGTTACGGGTGACATACTTGGTGATGGTGTACATGTTTCTTCCTGGAGGATCCTGAATGCACTCCAGGTGTTTCTGCTGGTTTCCCCAGACCCGGTCAATGGCTGCTGCATCCTTGAACAGATGGATCTGGTTCTCGTCCATTCCAGCCGCTCCCTTCAGGATGTCGATGGCACTCTGCACGCGGACAAAGGTCTCCTGGGCTCCATCCGCCATCCTCCTGACGTAATGCTTCAGATCAGATTTGCCGACGTGCATTTCAATGATCTGACCATCAGACAGGGAAGCATATTTGGTCGGGTGTCCTGCACGCGTGGCTTGAATAAGTAGCGCCATGTCGTCCTTGTTATACACGAACACAGCAGCAGACTTGAAGAGAGCGTATTTTGGGCGGTGATCTGTTCGGAGAGCCGCGTTAAACCTGGTTATCCAGTGAAAGATGTCGAGCCGCACCATCATGCCGCTGTCGGCCCACTCACTGAACAGCTGCTCCAAAGATGAGACACCATGCACACGACAGCAGCCGCGGTCCACGTACATCAGTTCAGGAGGTGCCTCATTTGCTCTCCTATATCTCGCCATGAGGCCTTCAGCCATTGGCCTCAGTTTATCCAGAGACTCCTCACAGGTAAGGACGGACATGAGGATCTGACCGAGCTCATTGGCCACGTTTGTGCACCATTCTGCTGTCCTTTTCCTTGTCCAGAAGCTTCTTGCAGATCTGATGACATACACAAAACAAAGTGACTGTTATAGCTGCGAGCCTCCTCACTTTGTGCAACACACTGTCACATGTTGTCATATTTTTTTTTACAGTTTATACAGCCGAGGAATGCCCCTTAAAAAGCGATACAGTAAGAGTATTTAATGGCCTGCCTTGAGCTATTGCTTTATTACTACTACTGTCATTTAATTATTAATTATGAAATGATATGATGCACATCGAGACAGGAGAAACAATGTTGGAGGTAAACACTGAAGTTTGTTTGGCAATAAAGCTTATTTTAAACAGAACTTTTAGTTTCGAAACTGCCTTCAAAATAAATGACCATTGCAGCCAAACGTCATCTTCAGTACACACTTTAGTTCAATTCAGTGAAACATGTTCCCCTTCAAAAGACTGAGTCAAATTACCTTCTTGGTGGAGTCGCACTTAAGGACTTTGCCAAACGTGGACATGATCTTGATGTTCTCTGTTTCAGCGAGGAGGAAGGAAGCACTTCCTCAGCAGCTTTGGGGACGGCAGCTCCCTCCTTGGTGGCGGATGCTGAAACTGATGGCTGAGAGTCCCTGTAAGCAGAAAAATTGATGTTCACACACACAGAGATACAAACTCCATTCCTGAAGGGAAATCTCTGAGCCTTTGGATCAGGCTGCCGCATCTCTCAACACCATTTGCACTATCTGAGATTTTTATTTTTTCATTTCCAGGAATCTAATGGGCTCAGTGCTACCAGCAGTATTCATCAACTAGTTAACTTCGTTAACTTCTCCTGCCCAGTTTGAATCTTCTGAGGGCGCCGACAGAGCTCCCTCATTCCTGTTGCAGTGTCATTCCTGTTGTATTCTGTTTACCTGATTAAAACGACCTATTTCTTAAATCTGACACAGCATTCACGTTTTTACACAGTCTGCGAATATGCACTGGAAACCGGGTTTATTGAGCTGTTTATTGAGGGTGGTGTAGAGGTCTTTTCTGTGCAGATACTCCTCACAGTGGCTTTCCTGGAACTGCCTCCACACCTTGGTCATGGTGTTGCCCTCACTGCGATCCCTCATCAGCCAGACCACCTGCTTGTCCACGCCACGCCTGAAATTACAGCACAATCGTGTGATGCCGGTGAAACTCAGATTAAATGCTCTCTAGTTATTATAATTAGAAATGATGCAAAGACTCACATTAGTGTTAAGAGGGCAGGGAATGCGGCTCGGTGACCTGGGCTGAGCTGGTAATTATGGCTGCTTCCCACGCCACAAAGCGACCGATGACATGTTGCTCAGACTCCTTAGCAGCTTTCCTGCACGCGTTAGTTATAAAATTATATAATATTATATTATCTGGTAGCATAACAAAGACAAAAACTTAATCTACCAGCTACTGTGTTCTCTTACTTTAAATCTTTTTCCTTCACTAGGCTGCATATATTACCTCAGGTTGAGCAGCCGCTGCTGCCGGGGTCACAGGGGCTTTGCTTGGCAGCAGCGCTGCGCCAGTAACATCAGAGGTCCTCCCATGTTGACCACCAGGTGCTGGAGGAGGACCCTTAAAAAGACAAGTGTATTACTGTATTGATGTCCCCATCAACTACATGTTGATGGGGACATCATGATCTATGAACTGTGGCCTTACAGGTGGCTGTGGAATGGAGTCTGTCTGTGGCAGGTGTGGAGGCTCTGGTTCAGCCTCTTTTCTGGGAGGGGTCAGGTCAGTGTCCCCTGAATGGAAATGAGGACAAAACTGTAATCCTATGACGAGCTTCAATCATCCTCAGCGCTGGACGACGTGGTGGCAGTGCTGGTGGCGGTGCTGGATGACGTGGCAGTGCTGGACAACGTGGCGGTTGCTGCGGGAGGGGCCACTTTCTGCTGAGGTTTCTGTAAAGTACAGTTTAAGTACAGGTTTGAGGCATCTCTTATAATAATAATAATAATAATAATAATAAATTTTATTTATAATGCACTTTACATTTCAGGGAAATCTCAAAGTGCTACAACAACAAGGGGTTAAAAACAGTTCCAGAAAATAGCAATCGCAATAAAACACCGTAACAAAAATTTAAAACCATGACTGTTAAAAGGCCTTTTGAAATAAAAAGTCTTTAGGCCCTTCTTAAAAACCTCCAGAGTTTGTGGGGCCCTTAGGGGCTCTGGGAGGGCATTCCAGAGCCGTGGGGCGACTGCCTGGAAGGCCCTGTCTCCCATGGTGGAGAGTTTAGTCCTTGGTTGGTGCAGGCAGTGGGTAGAGGTGGAGGAGCGGAGGTTTCTTAAGGTGGTGAGTGGGGTGAGGAGTTCACTGAGGTAGGCAGGGGCAGTTCCATGTATGCACTGGTGGGTAAGGAGACAGATTTTATATTGAATTCTGTATTGAATGGGCAGCCAGTGGAGGGATTTCAGGACTGGAGTGATATGGTCATATTTGCGCCTCCTCATCAGGACCCGGGCAGCGCAGTTCTGAATATGCTGGAGCTTTTGCAGTCTCCTGCCAGGGATCCCGACGAGGAGGGCATTACAGTAGTCCAGCCTGGAGGAGATAAAGGCATGGATCAACTTCTCAGCATCTAGTTGTGAGAGGGAGGGGCGGAGTTTGGCGATGTTTTTGAGGTGGAGGAAAGAGACCTTACAGAGGTGACGGATGTGAGTGTCGAATGTGAGATTTGAGTCAAGTCTGACTCCAAGGTTTGTAACAGAAGTAGACAGGGGAATGTGATGACCAAAAATGGATATACTGCTGAGGGAGGAGGACTGGGTTTGATGTGGAGTACCGATCGGGATGGCTTCGGTTTTGCTGCTATTTAGTTGAAGAAAGTTGTCAGCCATCCATGCCCTTATCTCCTCCAGGCAAACCTGAAGTGCAGATGGCAGAGTTGAGGGGAGTGTAGAGTCCATTTTTATGTATAGTTGTGTATCATCTGCGTAACAATGGAATGAAACTTTGTGTTTATGGATGATGTGACCGAGGGGTAGTAAGTAGATGGTAAAAAGGGTTGGACCAAGGACGGACCCTTGTGGCACTCCACAGCTGACTGTGTGGGGTGATGATTGGGACTGTCCTAGAGCCACATACTCCGTCCTGGCTGTGAGATAAGACTGGAACCAGCCTAGTGGAGTCCTAGAAAGTCCTACCATAAACTGGAGACGGTGAAGCAGGATGTTGTGATCCACAGTGTCAAAGGCGGCCGACAGGTCCAGTAGGAGGAGGAGAGATGGTAAGCCCTGGTCTGCAGTCATAAGTAGGTCATTTGTGACGCGGACCAGGGCTGTCTCCGTGCTGTGTGCTGCTCGAAAACCGGACTGAAATTTTTTCATATATGTTATGGATGTGAAGGTGATTGTGGAGTTGGGCTGCAACAACTTTTTCCAGGACTTTGGACAAAAACGGCAGGTTTGAAATGGGTCTGTAATGAGCCAGGATGTCGGGGTCAAGTGACGGCATGAACTGCACCCTGCTTTTTCCTTAAGGTGCCTTAACCTACCTCTGTCTCTTTGGTGACAATATAGAGTCTGAAGCGCTTCAGCAACTTTGAAGAGATGTCGTCCTCCTTCATGACGAGCCACTGTCGAACGGAGGAGAAAGCCTCCTGAGCCATCTTCCTCTCATGGTCACTCCCAGCCTGAGGGTCAGCTTGGAGGTGCTTGTGAAGGCTGTACCACTGCCACATTTCCTGGAATGTGAAGGACCTGAAGCGGCCCTGGCCATAAATGGCCCGGTCAACGTTGATCTCCAGGTGGCAGGAGACTGGAGGAAACAACTGCACGTATTTGAGCAGGTAATCCTTCACCAACTCATCTTTGATTCCAGCTTTCCTGTCTGGTTGACGGCTCTCTTTGATATGGCAGTCCAGGATGCTAAAATATAGAACATGATATTCAATATAAGAAAAGACAAACTATACAAAGTTTGATTGATTGTTTAGTGAAACATATTTATAACTCACTATTTAATGTATCCTACATCATTTTCCACCAGCCGCTTGAAGCTTTTGCCATTGTACTTTCCAAAAGTAGTAATTAGCTGACCAAAAAACTGCTTCTCTGTCGGAGTTGCCGTGATTATCTGGCATCTCCTTTTAGCTGCAGATTTAAGACATCGGAAGTGTTGTTATAACTATAAAATAACAATATAAGAATTCTAGTGCACATGGACATGTGACCATATGTTGGTCGTGCGTCTTGGACACCTATGGCATTAATATGTGTTCAATGGGGCTGATTTACCATAAATACTGTTCCACGGTCTTGATTACAATTAAGTGAAACACACACAAACAAACAAACACCCGTCGGGACCTTGGGCATAACTTGCTTTACGGCGCCCAACGCCAACTATTTAAAACATTATCAGCGACGTAATGCTAGTGTTTTCTAAAGACTTTATTGGGCTTTGTCGCTATTATTAAAAGGTAATTTCGGGTTATTGTTTTACCATCAGAGCCTGCAAATGGACAAAGAATGACCGGCGTTAATAATAGCGAAAATAAACGAAAGAGGTTATTCCTTACCTTGAAGTAGGCTATGAAGTGGAGTTATTTCTCTTAATCCACAGTTAACGATCAGCCACAGGACGGGGGCAGGTGAGTTAGCAAGCTCCGAAAGCCGCAGTAGACTGCCGACTGTCAATCACCGCGAGGATGCGGGAGCTCTGGCGGCTAGACGAAGTCCGATTGGTTGAGAGTGCAGAGCTCAGCCGCACTGAAAACTCTCCGCCAGTCACATGTACACACTTTAGACCCGGGGCCAGTAGACGGCCAGCAATTGTCTACCGTAGGCAGTTTTTGACTAAAGAAGAAAGCTAATAGCTAAATTTATTGAGTTTAATTTCCGACCCAACAAAGGAGGAGGCTAAGAAGCGCTCCATTCTCATGAGTGTATGGGCCGACGATTTATAAGCTGATAAAGAACTTAGCCACACCGCGGAAATCGTGGGGAACCACTTTAACCCGAAACCATTGGTGATGGTCCAACATTTCAAATTTCACAGTCATTTCAGGTCCGTCTGTGGTTAATTTTGTAGTGGAGCATCGGCAAATGTCTGTGATTTTGGGGGGGTGTTGGACAATATGCTCTGTGACAGACAGGTATGTAGTAATGATGCCATTCAGCTGCAGTTGCTGGGTGAAACCCCTTCGCTAACGTTCAAGAAAGCCTGAGATTTCCCAAGCTATGGAGATGGCTGCGCATAATGCTAAAGATATCCAGAAAAGACATGGAGGGCCGCAGTCGGCAGCAGTGCTCGTGAAAAGAGAGGCTAAGCCAGTAAAGTGAGTGAAATATTTTCAGCCTGGAGGAGCGCACTTTGCAAATGATTGCAATATTTAAGACACTGTTTGCCATTCTTGCAGTAAAAAGGGATGTTATGGGGTGGTGATGGCGCATGGATAGAGTTACCTGCCTTTGGTGTGAGAGACCCGAGTTCAATCCAGCCCTGTGACACACCCACCATTGTGTCCCTGAGCAAGACACTTAACTCCAAGTTGCTCCAGAGGCGTGTGACCTCTGATATATATAGCAATTGTAAGTTGCCAGCAAAATGAATAAGTGTAAATGTTTAGCTAAAAAGTGCAGGAATGCATGTATGGATGAGGAGTATGGCTAGACAAGGGAAGGCTTAACAGCGCCAGGCAGCCATGCATCACATAGAAGAAGCAGAGTGTGCCTACAACATGTTTGGGGTGGAAACAGATTAGGATCCACCTCAGCCCTATTCTGCCACCATCACTGAGAGGACATTAAGTCTGAGACTGATTCCACAGCCTCAGTCTTCAGTGAGGAGACCCATAGTAGGACATGGAGGTCCAAACCTCCCATCAGGTTCTTGAAGCTCAAACTCCTTGCCGTGCCTTAGCTATGAAGGGAAAAGTGGAGGAGGAGCTGGAATGGTTACAGGGGATAGAAATCAAGGTAGGCAGCTTTCATTGACCCAGTTGTGAAACACGATAAAACGGCAAGGATATGTGGGGGCTATAAGCTAATGGTGTACCAGGTCACTAAACTGAATGAGCACCCGTTGCTGTGGGTGGAGGACCTGTTTGCAACACTGTCTGGAGAAAAGCTGTTCACAAAGCTGGACATGTCCCATGCTTACCAGCAGCTATTGCTAGACAAGGATTCAAAAGAGCATGTCACAATATTGTGAATTGGGATTATTCAAATGTAATCACCTGCTGTTCGGAGTGGCATCCAGCCCTGCCATTTTCCAAAAGACAGTCAATGCAAAGATGCAAATTCCTGCGAATTCGCTCATGGTGGTGTGGAAGAAGATTTTTTTTTGGTGGCATTCAGTGGTTCGCACGAGTTCATCTCATAGAGACGCTTCCGGAAGGGTAAAAGGGTAAAAAGGGTAAAGGGTGCATCAAATACCTACGCTTTGTCACTCTTTCTCAAATCATCGGTATATGACGCCCTGAGATGAGAACGGGCTGGATGTCCAAAGAAGTGAACAGTATTCAACTGTTCATGTTTACGTGTGTTTCTTGTCAGGAACGATATGCAGAAGGAAATGGAAGAGTCTCAGGGACACTTAATTGAAGGAGAAAAAGGAGACAGAAGAGGAGTGGGTCAGGAGCGGGGCCAGTTAAAAAGTGGAAGTAATCTGTGGCCCTGTCTTTCCTCAATCCATTTATTACCCTGAGAGAGATGACTAGGTGTGCGAGGTCGAGGAAGACAGGATGGCAGAGTCCAGTGAAAAGGCAGCTCATCACCAGGATTCAGAGGCAGCAACAGCAGGGCCATCAGAGATTGCTGTAGGAGGTTTGTTTACAAGTGAAGACACAGGAAATTCCTACAAAAACGTTTTTATAGATGTATAACTAATTCTTTTCACAGCCTGCACTAAAAAGAACACATTTAGCTGTATAAAAGGTTGTAGGAAAATGAAAGGCTAGATATTATCATGGCTGAAAATGTATGATGTATTAAAATGGGTGCATTTGTAAAATTATTGCTTTGCTGTAATTAACACTGAAAGCTAGAATGACCAGTTCTATTAGACAATGATTAAATCTACCAAACAACCAACCAAGGCATCTTTTGTTTTACTGTCACTACAGACTAACCAGATCAATCACCCGGAAGGCAAGTCTCAAAGTACTGCTGCTGCCACGTCATCACTTATTTTATGGTATAATTTCTGCATGAATTGTGTTTTTTACTGTGACTAGTACTGTGTTCATTACCTTTTCATATTTGAATCATATTTGTTTGTTGTCAGATTTTCACTGATTCCTTGCGGGAATGCTGTACTTTCACAAAACATGGTGTTCTCATTTCATTCAGGGAGGAGGACCAAAAAAGGACCAGGGGTAGCGAGATGGAGATAATAAGAGAGAGGCTGCTTCTTGAAGCCCCGAAGAGGCCTGCTGCACAGGCTGCACCTGTCCCACCCCCTCTCTCAGAGGGCGAGCATTTCCTCCAAAGCCTGCTTCCTTCCCTGCAGAGATTGTCGTACCAGCAGAAGGTGTTTGGGAAATTCCAAATTCACAAGGTAATTTATGAAGCCAGCACTGTGGTGCTCAATTTGGAACCTGCAGGTGGTGATGAAGTAGTGTATAAGAGACATGCCTTTGGTGTGAGAGACTCGTGTTCAAATCTACTGTGAGACACCAATGTGTGCCTGAGCAAAAATACAGTTTACACAAAGGTAAAAACTGCGTGTCTGTCAATGTCATGATAGATATTAAGTTCAGGTCATGCTTTTATGATTTATGGTTATCACATGGTTTTGTGGTCATACTTTCAGTCACAAAATCTGCACTAAATACTGTACAAAAACTATAGGATAAACTGTTACTACATATTCAGTATAATCATAACCACAAATTCACTTTCATGATGGCAGATGTCTGATGATTTTCCTTTATTTTGCTGACAGTTTAAAACTACTGTACTTCTAAATTTTTATCTTTAAAGTGGTGTCTGCTTTTTTTATATTGTGTTGTAATGCAGTATAGACACACAAAAGCTGGATTACCACTATATATCCATCCATCCATCCATCCATCCATCGTCAACCGCTTATCCTGTATACAAGGTCACGGGGGGGCTGGAGCCTATCCCAGCTGACATTGGGCGAAAGGCGGGGTACACCCTGGACAGGTCGCCAGTCCATCGCAGGGCCACCATATCAATAAATCACAGATAAAAATAAAATGAGACACAATCTTCTCTGACATAAATATACTGTAAATTGATTAACTAATTTGTATTGAGTGATATACAGTATTGTAATATTGCAGTATGTTTGCTTATTAGTAATGTGTGGGCGGCTCTTAAAAGAACTGTTTTGGGTGTGCTTGTGCACTACTTGCCATGGGACAGCTCCCTCTGCAGAGAAGTAGGATGTGAAGGTCTCCCTAACCCTGATGGCTTCTCTTGCTGAGTTATGGACAGCAAGTCTTCCCAGACCTGGTAGTGGCTCCACCTCACCAACAGGGATGTTCGCCCTCACTGCAGCTGTCTGGGTTGTCCTCCGCAGGAAATTATGGAGAACACAGGTGGCCTTAACACATTTCTTTGCAACATCTGGATGGACCTCGATGGCATGCCTATACATCCTCCACTGGGAAGAGAGGATCCATTCTCCACAACCAACTGATGTAGTAGTAGTTAAAAACCCAACGCTCTCTTGGAAGGATGCGCCTAGGGAATGGCCTCATGAGGTTTCTGCAGAGTGGAAAGGCCTCATCAGCAACAAAGACTGTGGTCAGCTCCTGATAGTGGCAGGTCAGCGGGCAGTTGCAGGGTGTCTAATCGAAGCACTTGACCAAGCACTGAGTTTGCCAGAATCCCACCTTGTGCGTCCATAGCCCCCAACATCAGTCACTGGGAAACAATACTGAGCATCCACGACTGCAAAAAGAACCAATGAAAAAGTTCCCTTGTAGTTAAAGAACTGGGATCAACGACATGTTTGCCATCCAACGCTTCACAGCAGAAAGGAAAATTCCAGCCCAGCCATGAACTCCTCCACAAGACAGTCCCAAATGTAAATGCTCCCTACTTGTATAGCGCCTTTCTAGTCTTTTCAACCACTTTTACACTACATCTGCATTCACCATTCGCATACATTCATTCAGTGAGCCTAAGTGCTCAAACAGAAACTAACATTCACACACATTCATACACAATTCGGGGTCCAGTATCTTGCCCAAGGATACTTTGACATGCAGCCCGGAGGAGCCGGGGATTGAACAGCCAACCTATCTCCTGAGCCACAGTTGCCCCCTCAAACAGAGGGACTCCAATATGGAAGCTGTTTGCAAAGAGGTGGTATTCTGCTTTTTGGCTTTTTCCCTCCCCTTTGTTGAGTTATATAACTTTTTTGTGCATGTAATAGGTTTGCAAAGTCAAAAAGCCCAAAGTCCAGTCCAAAGGGAGTTCCCATCTCCCACAGAAATCTGCTCTGAACTGCCTGAAAACAGCTCGTTTGTAGTCCAGCCGCTTCCCTTTCATCCCTGTGACGTCAAAGGGATAAAATGCGCCTCATATAATGCTCGCCAAGCGGCTAGTCGGACATGCCCTCAAAAACACTGGTGGAAAAACACTGAGTTGCAGCACACCTCTCATCTCCCTTCCAAACACTAGCTACCCTCCAGGCAGTCAGTGGACATAAAGTTGTTACTGTGATGTAGAGACAGAGCTCGGTTAAAACTTTATGGATGAAGGATACTTTTGTTACAGATTAATAACTCACCACTCTGAAACTCTTGCTCCAGTCCATGTTGCCAAGCTGGTCAGCAACATGTACAGCTGAACCGACTTACTGGTTTCTCTGCTTCTGATTGGCTAGTAGTCCTTAACTAGGAATTGCGCATGTGCAACTTCCAACAAAGTTCATTTAGAGACAAGATGTATCACTCCAGAGCTAAAACGAGGCCTTCAACACAGGGTGAAAAGAGGAGCTGCAGTATGACAAAAATATGGTGTTTTTTGAAAATGAAATCATGTAAACCTGTTCTGGTACAACCCCTAGTGTGACGGCGTGACAGGCACTGCTAACTGTGGTGTAACAGTGATCCAAAGTGTTCCCCTCTCTGGTTGGACACTTTATAAACTGTCTGTATTTGGAGAGTTCTTGGCTGAGGTTTCCTTTGTTAACAATAACAAGGGAGTCCGGGTTTGTCTGCTCCACACACAGTATCTGGTCTGCCAGCATGTGCTGTGCGTTGTACACATTCGCGTGCAGCAGAATGTAAACACCGACCAGAATGAATGAAGCAAACTCACAGGGGGAGTAAAATGGCTTACAGTTTATGATTAAAAATTCCAGATTAGGAGAACAGTGCTGCTGGATCACTGTCACGTCAGTACACCAGCTATTGTTAATAAAAACAGATACCTCCACCTTTTGTTTTGCCGGAGAGCTCTGCGTGGCGGTCCGCTCTGTAGAGTTGGAAGCCTTCCAGCTGCAGCGCGGAGTCCAGTATCAGTTCAGACAGCCAGGTCTCCATGAAGAATAGTATATGAATAAAAGTCTCTGTTTTTCCCCACCAGTAGCTGAAGTTCGTCCAGTTTGTTGCACAGTGACCGCATGTTGGAGAGAAATATTCACAGCCGAAAAGTGAGTTAACACACAAAAACAAAACAAAGCGCACCTAACTCCAAGGCAGCTATAGACTATAGCGGTATTTGATGTAGATATATATATGAAATATATATTGTAACATCAATTCAAAGTTTTTGATACACAAATTATGAAACTCACCGGAGACAGATTGACAGGCGCTCCGCAGCGGAGACGGAATGTAGTTGGTGTCCACCCGAGATATCGGGTGTATGTTTTTGTTATTTACGCGGAAGGCCCTCCTCCTCTCCTCTTTCCCAGAAGAGAAGGGAAAAGTCAGGGTTCACATAGGCTACTGGCATACTCGCGCAAATAATACGCAGGTAAATATGGTACCAGCAGTCAAACTCACGCAAGTAAAGCAAGGCAAATATTAACTTCACTTTCAGTGTGAACACACCACTATAGAGGCTCTCAGATGCAGGGTTGAGATTGAAATGCAGCAAGTGTGTGTTTATGACCTTCCTGGGACATGAAATCACAGCTGAGGGTCTCTGTCTGGTGGAAGACAAGTTGCCAGCTATCAAGGGGGCCCCAAGCCCTAAGAGTGTTAAGGAACTAATATGAAGTGGCAGTGGGAGGAAGAGCGGTAGGAAGGTTTTAAGGAAGTGAAAGAACTTCTTCACTCAACGAAGCTGCTTGTTCATTATGATCCAGACATGGAGATCACCCTAACATGTGCAGTGCTAATACATGTAATGGAGGATGGTTCAGAGAAGCCTATTGCCTTTACTTCTTTTACATCCCAGCTCACTCCGGGTAAGGGACGTACGCATAAACCAGATGTTGTTGGTACGGTGGGAAAGTTATTTATTAACAAGAGTTTTTTACAGAGTTTAAACAACAGAAATTGGGCAAGTGGGTGCTGTGAAAACATAACCACTATGCTGTCCTCACTAAAAGTTGTTGCAGGCAACGTATTTTTCAGCTATACAGCTAGCTTAACATTATATTCTCCAGCATTCCATTCTCCAAGGAACAGGCAGGTTGTTGTGTTTGGCAGGATTTAATGAAGGAAAATATGTAATTTTGTAAAACTGCAAAAAGGACACAAAGATACAAACATGTAAGTACCTTGTATGTACTAAATAATGTCTCTAGTACATTATTAGAGAAGGAATACTATCACAACAGGTACTGACTGTTACCAGGTACTGAAAGTAGGTATGTCAATCCAACAATACACTAACATCATCTACCAATATTCATAAATAATTTGACTACACTCAAAAACAAGAAATAATTACATCGACATGTTAATACCACTGTATATTGAAGATGACTTACGGATGAAGCTGTTTGGTGGACTTAAAGACACAGGATTGCGAGGATTGTTAACTGTGATGCTTCCTCTACGAGCCCATGTGGAAAAGGAAGTTCCTAAACACCGCTTCCTGTCATCCTGACTATTTACAATTGGCTTACTTCCTCTTCAGAGCAGCTTTGTAATCACCACTAGGTGGTGCTAAGAACCTACAAAATAAGTCTATAAACTAGTTCCAATACACTCCCCGCCTGGCATATTAAGAAATATGACACTATGAACCCACCTTCTGATTTAATCAGACTCTGTACATAAGATTAGCTGCTACCTCATTCAAGTTTGACATGGGAATACGACCGCAGTTTTACAGTGAAGCTCTCAACATGCTGTGGACAGCATTGCCATGATGTCCCCTGACTCAGCTTCTCTGTTATTGATCCCCGTGTTGAAGACGCTGGTGAGTTGAAGGCGTGCCTGTTGGGGTATCCTCATCTTTCTGGGAGAAAAGCAGGACCACCTCAGAGATGGGTCTGGAGAATATCTTGACCGCCTGATTTCTTGTCACTTTGACTTCCACCTTTCTTACTAATCCATCTTTACTGGGAGTGGCTTTTACAATCATTCCCATTGGCCACTGGTTTCTTTTTGCCTGACTGTCCTTCATCAGAACTATGTCTCCTTCTTTTAGATTGGGTTTCTGCCGACTCTGTAGTGTGCTTAGATATTCTCGCCGCCACCTAGCCCAGAAGGTCTCTGCCAGTGCTTGAACTCTCTTCCACTGGTTCTTGAGCAAATCCCCTTTTGAGAAGTCACTGGCTGGAGAAAGAGATGCACCTGTTTTCTGCGTCAGCATCATGGAAGGGGTTAGAATGAGGGGAGCCTCTGGGTCAGTGGATACAGGGATTAGCGGCCTGGCATTCACAATGGCACTGACCTCCGCCATAAGAGTGACTAGGACTTCATGGGTGAGCTTTGAAGGTCCAACCTGGAGGAGCATGGAATCCAGAATGCGACGTGCAACTCCGACCATGCGCTCCCAAGCGCCACCCATATGAGAGGAGTGGGGAGGGTTGAATACCCAGGTGCATTTTTGTTGAAGAAGGTAGTCCTCTATGCTTGAATCACCACGACCTTATGAATCCATTTTCAGCTCCTTAAATGCTCCAACAAAATTGGACCCACAGTCTGACCGGAGCTGCTTAGCATAGCCTCTTATGGAAAAAAACCTCCTGAGGGCATTTATGAAGCTTGAGGAAGTCATGGTTTCGATTACCTCAATGTGAATGGCACGTATGGACATACATGTAAACAAAACTGCCCATCTTTTGTTCCTGGCTTGGCCACCCCTGGTACGACGCGCGATGACTTCCCACGGACCAAAGACATCAAGACCCACATAAGAAAATGGGGGGTCTGCCTGCAGGCGTTCAACAGGTAGATCAGACATTTGTTGTTGTTCCATTCTTCCTCGCAGCCTTTTGCATGTGACACACCTGTGGATGCAGCTTCTGATGAGACGTTTCCCTCCCACTATCCACAGACCACTGGCACGGATTGCACCTTCGGTGAAGTGTCTGCCCTGATGTTTCACACATTCATGATGATGTCGGACAAGCAAAGTTGCTATGTGGTGATAATTGGGATAATGAGGATGGGCTTCGTGCCTTTCAAGTTGTGCTTGGTCGATGCATCCACCAATTCTCAGCATAGCTTCACTGTCAATGATTGGCCGAAGTTTATGAAGCGGGCTGGTCTTGGGAAGGTGGAAGTTTGATTTAATGCATTTCAGTTCTTCTGAATAGCTCTCGTGTTGCACGCACTTTATGATGACATTCTCTGCTTTTGCAATGTCCGCAGCTGACAAACCATTATTGCACATGTGCCAGCCAACGCAACCTTGATTGCCTGATGAGATTGTGAAGCATTGAGCAATGTGGCAGAGGCGGGCCACAGCTTTGGTGAGTGAGCTCCAACTAGACAATTTATCAAACCTTTTTGAACCCAGCTGGTCTTCAGTCATTTGTGTGATGAGGGATGTTACCTTGGAACGAATCTCAATATCAGACTCTGGATCTATGAGGTCATATGCCATCTGATCTTCAGTGTTGACTTCTGAACTTGCTGGCTTGGTTAGGAAAGCTGGTCCAGTCAGCCATGTAGATCCTGCAAGCTCAGCAGCTGGAATGGCCCGGGACCCATGATCTGCTGGGTTTAGTCCAGAGGGAACATAACTCCACTGCTCTGGCCGTGTTGACTGCCGAATACGTTGCACACGATTATTCACGTAAACGTAAAATCTTCTTGTCTCATTGTGTATGTATCCCAACACAACTCGGCTGTCGGTGTAGAATTTAACTGCATTCACTTTCAGATCAATCTCTCTGACGACTAGCTCTGCAATCTCGACCGCCAATACAGCTGCACACAACTCTAACCTGGGGATTGTCAGCTCAGGCTGGGGAGCTAGTTTGGATTTACCAAAGACAAAGCCTATCTCACTGTGACCATGCTCACTTGTAACCTTCAGGTAAGCCACTGCTGATATTGCTTTGACAGAGGCATCAGAAAAGACACACAGTTCTGCGTGCTGTGCCTCTGAAGTGGGGAAAGTTGCATATGTGCGTGGGATATGTACCTCTTTTAGTGCTTTTAGAGATTCATGCCATCTTCTCCAATCTTCAAATTTGGCCTTTTACCCCACTCTGTATCTTCGGTCGAAAACTCTCTCAGGAGCAGTCTGCCTTCAATGGTGACAGGAGCCAAGAAACCCAGAGGATCAAACAGACTGTTAACTGTTGACAGGACGCCTCTGCGTGTGAATGGCTTTTGACTTTCAGGGACATGAAAAGTGAAGGTGTCGGACATAATGTTCCAGCTGACCCCAAGGCTACGTTGCATGGGTAAGTCGTCTTCAGAGAGGTTGAGATCTTTGATGTCGCTTGCTCTTTCCTCTGCAGAAAATGCATCCATCACTCCTGTTCGATTTGAGGCTATCTTGTGCAGCACTATGTTTGAATCTGCCAACATTTGCTGTGTCCGACACAGAACATCAATGGCCTCAGCTTCAGTTGCGAACGATCGAAGACCATCATCCACGTAAAAATCCCGCTCAATAAAGTGTCTTGTATCGCTCCCATACTCACTCTCTTGGTGTTTTGCTGCCCTCCTAAGGCCGAAGATTGCTACTGCAGGCTGTTCCCAAAAACATGAACTTGCATGCGGTATTCCACCACTTCTTTGCTTAGGTCATTCTCTCGGTACCACAAGAACCGCAGAAAGTCTCTGCAGTCCTCACGCACCACAAAACAGTAGAACATTTGACGTATGTCTGCTGTCACCGCAACAGGTTCTCTTCTGAATCTGAGGAGCACTCCTATGAGGCTGTTGTTCAGGTCTGGCCCGGAAAGCAACACCTCATTCAGTGAGATTCCATCGTACTGTGCACTGGAATCAGACACCACACGAATCTGGTCTGGTTTTTGGGGGTGGTAAACCCCAAAGGTAGGGAGATACCAAGATTCCGTTCCTTCTTTGAGTGGTGGTGCAAGCTCAGCATGTCCATTGTCCAGCATTTTTCCCATGAACTCAGTGAAGTGCACTTTCATTCCAGGCTTCTTGTCTAACATCCTTCGCAGTGACATCAGACGGCTGAGAGCATAGTCTCTGTTGTTAGGGAGACGTCTGCCTGGTTGGCGAAAAGGGAGAGGAGCAACCCAGCTATTTGTGTCATCTTGGAAGAACTCCTGTTCCATGATCTGAAGGAAGGTTAGATCCTCAATGGAGTGGGCGAGCATGTTGTCATTCTCTGTCGTATGGAAGACCGCTCCTCCAAGATTATCTTTGTCTGACACAACTGATGCACTTTGAGTGGGTCTGTGCCGTGGAAGGTTCTTCCCATCACCTCCGACACTATAGCTCTCTTTCACTTGTATCTGATTCTCACATGGAACAAGGCAAGTTGGTCTGCCATTGTCAAGGATCCAGGTCTTCATTGCACTCACTGTGTTTGGTTTGTGACCTCCCCCAACGCATACGTCACCTATGATGACCCACCCAAGATCTAGTTTTTGTGCATATGGTGCATTGTGAGGGCCATTGTACTGTTTACGAACCATTTGGGCCCTAATAGCGTCTCATCCCAATAGCAGCAGGATGTCAGCAACTGGATTGAGGGTTGGGATCTTATTTGCTATCTGTCTTAGGTGATGATGGTGGTATGCAGCTTCTGGCGTAGGTATCTCTGCTCTATTGTTGGGAATTTCATTACACTCAATGAGTGTAGGTAGTGCGAAGTTTATTTTCCCATCCAAAGATTCCACTGTGAATCCCTGGGCTCTTCTGCCAGCGGTTTCCATCATCCCTGCACAGGTTTTGAGTGTGTATGTCACTGCTGCTCCTTTGATGTTGAACATGTCAAAAAGCTCTGTTCTCGCCAATGACATGTTACTTTGGTCATCTAAAATGACGTACATTCTTCTCTTTAGCTTGCGATGCCCATTGGGGTATACATTAACAAGGCATATCTTCGAGCAGGATTTGCCTTTGAAGTCTTCACCACATACCTTGGTACACGTCGATGTGACATCTGGTTGCGCTGTGTCCTCTCTCTCCCCGCCATTCTCTGATGAAAGGGAAAAACCTGGATGTGACAGTGGAGCAGGACCAGGGTGAAGAGCAGAAAGATGTTTATCGCTGTCACACTCTATACATTTGATGAGAGTTTCACAGGCTTTTGCCTGGTGAGTAGTAGAGGCGCAGCAGCGGAAACATATCTTGTTGTCTTTCAAGAATTTCTTTCTGTTGTCAAGGCTCATTTTCCTGAACCCTCTGCATTTCTTCAGGCTGTGGGGTTTGTTATGCAAGGGGCACAGTCTATCAGGATTTTCCGATTTGTTTGTCTTTTCTATTTTGGACGTTGTGTCTGATGATGATATGATTGTTTCATGTACAGAGACGGGTTTTGTTGGACTGAACCTCTCTTTCCTGAATGAGGCTGCAGAGAGAGTGTGAAGGTTAAAACTGGGGTCATTTCTCTCTTCAGCTTCCCTGCAAATGAACTCTTTAAAGAAGCAGAAAGGAGGAAAGACAACACCTTGTTCTCTTTTGTATTTGCATCCTTGAGACAACCACTTGTCTTGGAGATATAACGGCAGCTTCTCGACAATGGGCTGCACTCCCCTTGCTGTGTCAAGGTACGCCAGCCCTGGCAAGTACCCATCTTGCTTGGCAACAACCAATTCTGTCAGTAAGTCTGCTAGCTCTTGCAGTTTCTGACTATCTCTGTTATGAATCTTGGGGAAATTCTCTACTTTACTAAACAGGGCTCTCTCTATTGCTTCTGGAGATCCATATGTTTTGTTCAATCTCTCCCAAATCACTTTTAGACCAATGAGGGGTTGTCTGACATTTACAGCCCTAATTCTAAGTGCTTGCTGACTTGAATCCTTACCGAGCCATTTGATCAGCAAATCCATCTCTTCACTTGCTGTCATTTCAAGGTTTTCAATTGTGTTGAGGAAGGTCTCCCTCCAGGCTTGGTAGTGTTCAGGTAAGTCATCAAACTTTGTCAAGCCTGAGGACACCAGCTGGTTCTTAGCAAGGAATTTGGCAAGATCAACTGTTGTAGCATTATTATTTGTGTTGTCTGAGTGTGATGGCTTGTTGGGGAGTGCAATGTGCTGATGGCCATAATTTCTTGACTGTAGTAAATCTGTGTTAAGCTGCTGTGTGTCTCTTTGTTGGTGCATCAACCTCCTATTGAAGCTCTGTGACTGGGCTCCACCCTGAGCTGTGTAGTTTTGATGAGGTGTAAGTATTGGAGGCAAGGGAAAGTAAACGTCCTTCTCCTCTCCAGGTGACTGGATGAGGGGATGAGGTGTAAACATTGGAGGTGGGGAGAAGTGAACGTCCTTCTCTTCTCCAGGTGCCTGGGCAAAGTGATGTAGGGCTTGGTGGGTGACATAGTCATCAGTTCTTTTTAGTGCACTCTCTCGAAGAGCAGAAAAGTTAAGTTCTTGCTCATGATTGGAACCATCCATATCCGCTGCTGCTGTCTCCAGCACTACAGCTTCTGCATG